CTTCAGCGTTTAAAGGCTAATGAGCAGGTTTGTGTTTGAGCTGACAGGACGCCCGTCTGTGTCTCGTGTTCTCGTAGTGTTGGATCGGGTCAGCAGGCAGCTGGTGGACCGTCAGGAGGAAAACGACAACCTAACTCGATCCATCAGTGACCGTCTCTCCCGCCTCCACGCTGACACGATGGACCTCCGAGACGCCCTGAATGAGGCTGTGAACAACACGGCGAGAGCTGCCGAGATCAACAACGCCAACGAGAAAAGCCTGGACGACCACAACGTAAGAGCAGCAGAGGAAGGAACATGGAGAACGTGGAGAACACCAAGTGATGACTAACCGCTGTCTGTCTGTCTGTCTGTCAGAGGAGGGTGGTGGACCTGCAGATAAAGTCGACCGAGGTGAGAAAACAGCTGAACGTGTCTGCAGATCACCTTCATCAAGTCAACAACGACGTGTGGTCCATGGTGCAGAACTCCAAAGAGGTTTGAATGTCACACATTAAACTTGTCTGTGTGTGCATGCGTCACAGATTTACAGGGGCCGCTTCATCTTCAGCACAGCCGTGATTCAGCCCTCAAAGTGTTCTCAGTCTGCTGGAATCTACTTTCTAACTACTAACAGTGCTAACAGTGCTAACACCTGCTAACACCTGCTAACAGTGCTAAAACCTGCTAACAGTGCTAACACCTGCTAAAAGTGCTAACAGTGCTTACACCTGCTAACAGTGCTAACACCTGCTAACAGTGCTAACACCTGCTAACAGTGCTAACACCTGCTAATAGTGCTAAAACCTGCTAAGAGTGCTAACACCTGCTAACATCTGCTAACAGTGCTAACATCTGCTAACAGTGCTAACACCTGCTAACAGTGCTAACACCTGCTAACAGTGCCAAAACCTGCTAACACCTGCTAACAGTGCTAACATCTGCTGACAGTGCTAACACCTGCTAACAGTGCTAACACCTGCTAACAGTGCTAACAGTGCTAACACCTGCTAATGGTGAACCATGGCTGGTTACAGCTCACAGATCCGAGGCTGGAGCTCGGACTGTTTCGTTGTTCTGGCAGGCTCAGAATCAGAGTTCTTGTTGAAGATCGAAAAACAAAAAGTTTAGGTCTTTACCTCCCCTTGACCAGGCTACGTCCCCTTCAGCTCTTTCTCTCCCTCAGGAGTACGAGCACCTGGCAGCTCAGTTGGATGGCGCCCGGATGCTGCTGGCCCAAAAGGTTCAGAATTTGTCTCAGACTAACTCTAAAATCCCGCTGGTGGAGAAGGCGGAGAAGCACGCTGAGCTCCTCGGCGCCCTGGCCATGAACCTGTCCAGGTAGGTGTACGACGTTTAGTTCTTGTGCTTCATGAAACCAAACACGACGAGCTGTGTGCGTCTGTCTGCAGTTTGATCGCAGAAACAAAGAAGGACGGATTCATAGACGTAACGCAGGCGTACAACAAGATCGTCGTCAGCATCGAGGAGGCCGAGGAGGCCGCCAAGATGGCCAGCGAGGCTGCCAACAGCACATTAGAGGTAAAAACACCCAAAATCACAAGTTTGTCCTTTGAGGTGACTTTAAAAACCGAAACTGAAAGTGTGTTG